AGATAGATAGATAGATAGATAGATAGATAGATAGATAGATAGATAGATAGATAGATAGATAGATAGATAGATAGATAGATAGATAGATAGATAGATAGATAGATAGATAGATAGATAGATAGATAGATAGATAGATAGATAGATAGATAGATAGATAGATAGATAGATAGATAGATAGATAGATAGATAGATAGATAATAATGGAGTTACAATCACAAATTTGTCTGGATCTTCTCTACAACTCTATAAATCCTAAAAACCCTTTTCTGTGAAAATAAGCATAAAAGAAAGCTCTCTTTTACCTAGACACTTTAACAAAGTATAAATACTTAGGCTCCAAAAATGCTCCAAAAACATCACTTTCTTTCAAAAAATACTCCTGAACCTATAAATATTTTTAAAAGACTCTAAAACATAGTAATTAAATATTAAAACACTCATATACCATGGTTAAAAGTGTGTCAAATCTATGGTATATCAACTCCTCAAGACTTACCATCTCTACAATATTGCAATCCACATCTAATAAATCCTAATCACAAAAGCACATTCCATATCCTAGCTTAGCAACCCAATTCATCTATCTAGCAACTTAATAAATACTATCATACATTCTCTTCAACCATCCTCATTTCTTAACATAAAATAATGTGAAGTCTTTACCTTAAGAGTATCGATCAAAGGACACATGGACTCTTACTCAAACAAGTTTCTGGGTAAACAAGCAATCTCATTCTGGTTTTCTTTCTCCCTATATCCCTCTTCTCTTAATCTTTTTGTGACTCAATGCCAATGAACAGATACATGTGCTAATGCATTCCATCTTGTTCACCTTATTGGTTTCTTTTTCTTTATATTTTTTTCTTTTTGACAACAATGTAAGCAAATAAGGGGGTCATCGGTAATGTACCTAACCCTCGCTTACATCGAAGTGTCGGGTCGTGAGTAATTTACCTACCCCTCTGCATCTCAGGAAACCATTTCAAATTTTTATTTTCTAGATGCTGAAGAGATGAGATAAGGAAACCAAAAGTGTACAGGCTTGTACCTTTCAGACCTAAAGGAAGAATTATGACCATGTATGTAGTACATTATCCCTTTACACAGATTTTTTAAAAATCGATTTGAACTTAATCGAATAGTTGACCTCTTTTACACAGATTTTTTAAAAATCAATTTGAACTTGGATTACAAAGATTTTTTTTTAAAAAAATCGATTTGTCTTGCTCTCATTAAAATGTTGAACTAACAAGTTTAGAACTTGGATTTTAGATATGTCGCTGGAGTTACCAAAGAGGATTTTTAAGGAGGGCGAGGAGCCCCAAGTGACTCAGATCAATAACAACTGCAGGATTGACTACATTATCCGAAAGTTCACTGAGTGGCTGCCAAAGGAGTTGGAAGCTGTGAAAAAAAGATCCAGTTTTTTCTTAGATTTTTAAGCTGCATGAGAATGGTCTTGGGTTCTCTGCGAGAGTTTTACACAGCTTCTTGTGTAGGGAGCTGCTGGCTTACAAAATGCACGAGCTTTGGTTCGTCTTTGCGAGGAAACCAGTAACCGGGTTTGAGTGCAATACTCATATCTCTCTTAAGGAGTTCGAAGACTGGAAATATGACGGTGGTTTCTGGAGCAATGTGTTGAGGAGAAGATATGGATCAGTTACACTCTTCAACCTGAGGAATAAGGACAAGGAAGCTGTTAAGTAGTGGAAGAATGCAGATCGCATACGACTGATCTATCTGGCCATCATTCTTTGTGTAGTTTTAGCGAGAGATGAGAAGGCTAATATCCCCCTCAAATACATCAAGGTGGTCATGGATCTTGAGAAGGTTCGCAAGTATCCTTGGGGAGTTGCGGCCTATGATTTTCTCTGCAACTCAATAGCCAAAAATCGTGACAACCTGAAGGCTAAGACTACTAGTTATGTCTTGGATGGTTTCTCTTACGCCTTGCGGATTTGGGCAATGGAAGCTGTACCAAAGATTGGGAAGCTTTGTGGAAAAAAACTTAACAAAAGTTTCAGAAACGTTCCTAGATGCATCAACTGGATGGGAGCTGCAAAGGTGTCATATGATGAGATCAATCGGTTGGAGCAAATCCTGACACCCGAGGTAATCTCTAATCTTTATGTAAGTTGAGTCCAGCTAGTTTGGTATGAGTTTTTTAGGATATAAGTTTCAGTAAATTTCTTGTGTAGGATGACATCTATCCATATATCGACTGGAGAGGAAATTATGATATAGTCCAAGCTCATGTATTTAGCAGAGATGAGAGAATCGAGAATCTGATGAAGTTGATAAGAACAAAACATGATTTTAGTGACGAGAGGATGAATCGGCTGTGAATGATGACTCGGCTGTGAATGATGACTCAGCTGTCCATGATGAATCCGCTGAGAGTGATGAAGACTACCATACTCCAAAAGGATCAAAGAACCTAGGCGCTACATCAAGCAGGGGTAAGAAGAGGCTTCCAAATCATGGTATAGAGAAAAGGAAGCATAAGATTCTCTCTACTGGACCAAAGCAAGCGCCTTTTAATGAAGACATGAAGCCTTTTGTGACACAGTTGTTTGAGCAGGGTTTCTCTGGAATGGAACAGAGGCTTCAAAAACAGATGGCTGAGAAATTTGAGAAAATGAAGACAGAGCTTGAAGATTCACTGAAGGAACCAAGCGTTGAAGTTGAGCCTGGAGAGTCTTCACCGAAGAAGTCTTCACCGAATGAGCCTTCACCGAAGAAGCCTTCACCGAAGAAGCCTTCACCTACCAAACCTTCGACGAGCCAACCACCGTTGAGGAGGTCCACACGCGGGGTAAAAAAAGACTTGTCTTCACCATTCTCTTAAATGTTATTTTGTCTTGTTTATTAGGTGGTTTGTGTGTCTGTTTGTCTTACTATCATCTATGATATCGGTCTGAAGTTGGTGGTGTTTTATAAGGTCTCGGTTTGTAACTGTGCTTGGTGTGTTAGTGTCATTGGTTTGTAAGCGTGTTGTTTGAAACTTATGTGAAATGTTGGTGTGTAAAATATTAGAATTATTTATTAAAAGTTCATGTAATGGACTTGTTTGTGCTTAATATTATGTTGTTAATTGATTATTTATCATGACACAACAGGAAGAATCCCAGAGTTCCTTTGATGTGAATTTTAGTGAAGCAGATGATATCCCAGAGTTCATAGGTACGGAAGGCGTTGAAGGGCTTTCTCAGACCTCGTATGTGCCCGGCTTTGATCCATCTCAGACCAATAAGGGAGAGGAGTGGTGAACTCCAAGGACTTCAGTCCGAGATTCAAAAGCTCCACTGCCGTCACAGTGAGAGAAATAGAATAAAGGAAAAGCACTTCAGCTTACTGATTCACCATTGCGCACAGATGGTTCTCCGCAGTCGTCACTATATAATTGCTCTGAAGAATCATGGATAGGATTCACGGGATGGGTTAAGAAACCAAAACCTTTACCACTTGATCCGTCAATCTTAAATTTGACTATAGCTTCAAGGATAGTAAGTCCAGGAAAATGTCTTGGCAACGAGGTAATGTTTTATTGTACTAATTTTTTGAATTTATCTTTTGTAAAACAACTTAATTTCATTGTGAATATTCAGGAAATGGATGCATTTATGTTTATATGGCGAGTCAACACAACTTTGAAGCGTTGGGCCCTGAGCCGTGTTGCTTTCATGAGTGCTATGTTCTGCCTCCAAATCGATGCTGCATACAACAAGTTCTTTCGTAACAAAAAGGCCTATGAATTGCCTGAGTTTCTTCTTGGGTACGGCAGAGGAGAACTTCCATCTCATGGGCGGACTGATCAAGTTTGGGGTGTGGATGTTGATCGTCTCTACTTTCCTTTGTTTGTAACTGGTAATCATTCTCTCCTCCACACGTCTAAGATTTCAGCTTGATTTTGTTTAAAAAATTATTATTGTCCATTGCAGGTAATCACTGGGTTGGTGTCTGCATCAAAATTATTGAGAAAAAGGTGGAAGTGTTGGATAGTGGTCGGGCAAAAAATAGACAACACATGGAGAAGTATGCTGCTCTGATTCCTAGGATAGTGAAGGCCGTTGCACCACCTGAAAGACAGAAGCAGCTACTCCTGGCATCTTATTCTATCGTGGATGTTCCTATGAAGATGAGATTGAACAAGTCTTGTTGTGATTGCGGTGCATACGCACTCAAGCACTTGGAATGCCATCTGCTTGGTATCGACCTGAGTTTAGTTGATGATGAAATAATCATGGGTTGCAGACAGAAGATTGGTGTGGAATTATGGGAGGCTGCACACGATCCCATTTACGCTGAGGCAATGACACGATATCTACCTTCACCATGGGAGAGAGAAGAGTCCTTTGAACTCGAAGATTAAATGTGTCTAACTATGTGGAAAACTGTAGCTTATGTTTGGATGGAAATTTGTGACAACTCTAGCTTATGTTTGGATGGAAATTTGTGACAACTCTAGCTTTAGATTTTTTAGGAATTATGTTACAATTATATCTATGTTTTTGAAGGGTTTTTAGTTCCTCTAGTTTGATTTCCTGCAAAGTATAGTGTACTACATGATCATAATTCATAAAACCCTAAACCATAAACAAACCCTAAACAGTTATATCTAGGTTTTTGAAGGATTTTTAGTTCCTCTAATTTGATTTTCTGCAAAGTATAGTGTACTACATGATCATAATTCATAAAACCCTACACATACCCTAAACCCATAACCTCAACTATACCCTAAACCCTTAACTATAATCAAAGTCGAAAGCCTATGCGCAAATGACATCTACTTATTCACTAGTAATGTAAATTGGTCACTAATTATCAATTGATCAATTCTCATGCTACTTTCTTTGCTCCATGTTTTTAAACAAATTTAGAGGATTCGAAGACAAAGTACATACGTTTGTAATAGGTTGAAGCAGTCTATTTTAGTGTGTTTTTTTCTGATCTCCCTTTAGTAGAATACACGTTATAGAAGTATCAAAAGACGTCGTTTAGGTAATTATTTGACCTACTCCCTTTTCTTCCTCATTCTTCCTCGATAGAGAGATTTATAGCGGCGAAAATTTGGAGATCGACTCAATCATGTCTTCGGTCAATTCTTCATCAACTCCAACAGATCGACTAGCCAAACAATGCGGAATTCTCACGAGATGCAATTGTGGTCAGGCAGTGTCTCGTTTCACTTCAAAAACTGTTAAAAATCCAGGAAGATTATTTCATTGTTGTCTGATGAGATCTGACAAGGTTAGTCTTATAATCATGTAACTTTGCTTTGTTTCAATCTAACTGTTTATTGGATGTTAATGATGAAGGACAAAACTCACTTGTTCAAATGGACTGATAAGTTGGTAGTTGAGGAAATTGAAGACTTCCAGGACTTGTTTGACGTGCTGCTTGTCGACAATATTGAGATTCAGAAATCAGTGAGAGGTGGTGAGGCCATGATGAAAGGCCATGAGAGTAGAATTAAAGAGACGGAAGATGCAATTGCACATTGTGAAGAGAAGATCACAGAATGCATTAGAGAATTAAGGATCATAAAATCTTTGTTTGTGTGTTGTTTGGTGATGGTGTTCATGTACATTGCTTGATGTTCATGTGCTGCCTCAAATATTTATTTTTCAAACAAGTTTAAGACTATGTTTCTTGTTATTTCTTGATGATTATCATCTACTAGAACCAATAATTTTACAAATACCAAATTGTCACAAACATTGATCGATTAGTCTCAAGAGTTTAGCAAATACCAAATAGTCAAATAAGTTCTTAAGTAGAAGATCACTATGATTCAAGATCAACAAGAAAAAAAACAGAGACAGAATAACACACAAAACAAACTAGATGGGTAAATCGCATGTTCCTCTCTTGTGTCCTTGGGTACTACAACGACTACACTTGTGTTTTTTATTCTTTGTTGATCCCTGAGAAGATTTTATCTTGTCTTCTACTGATTCATACCTTCTCTTTATTGGTCGACCAGCACTCTTTCTTGTCTCTGGTGGTAAAACCTTAGCAAGTTTAACCTCAGCGGGGACATTCCATTCAGACTCTGGAACTGCTATTGGATTAATGCATTCCTCATAGGCGGTTCTCCACGCTGCAGTGGTGTATAAGTCATCATTAAATCTGTGCACTTCCAGGCCTGTGTCAAAATAATGTGATTGATTGGAGTCACTATGCTTAATTACAAAAAATGAATAGGTCCCAAGTTCATGTGTTTATACTTCCATACCTCGTGAATAAATTGCAGGAATGGCGTGTCGGCAAGGAATTTTTCCTATATCATACTTCCCACATGTGCATATTCTTCTTTCCAAATCAACAAAACAATCATACATGTCTCCTTTCACAAGTGATTTGATGTCGTCAACCTTGTGAACTTGAAACCCTTTTGCCTTCACAATTCTCCTATCAATCTTTTTCTCCACCTTAGTGGTTTAAGGATCAAGATGCTTAGAGCTTACCAAGCGACGCTCATAGAACCATCGAGTCAACAGTTCTCTTATACTATCTAGCAAAGGAATAACCGGATATTCTCTAGGTATTCTCAGTACTGAATTTATCGACTCTGCAGGGTTTGTGGTCCTAATGTCATACCTTTTACCAGGGAAGAGAGAACGAGCCCATTTGCGCACATCAGCCTCCCGTAGATATCTTCCAGGGTCAGGACTCATATCAAAAATGTCGGTGATACGTTCCTCAAATTCAGTACCTATATGCCCGTGAAGCCTTTTCAACCAAGGCAGTGAACCCTTTTGTCTTGAAAAATGCAACCACATTGGTCAATAAGTGATGAATGCAAATTCCATGTGCTGATCGGGGTAGACAGTCCCAATCGCTTTAGCAATAGACGCATTTCTATCTGAGACAAAAGCTAAGTCTTTACAATCAGCAATAACCACTTTCAACTGTCTGAAGAACCAACCCCATGAATCGTCATTCTCTTAATCAACAACTCCAAATGCAATCGGATACAAATTAGAGTTACCATCTACAGCAGTAGCAACAAGTAGAATTCCTCTGTATTTATTTTTCAGAAAAGTTCCATCAACAACAATCACCCTTCGCATTGCATTGTAGAATCCTCTAACTGATTGGCCAAACGACATAAATAGATACATGAATCTCCCCTTCTCATTAAGTTCATAGTGAGTATGCGTCCCAGGATTAGCTTCTTTAAGCATGTGCAAATACGATGGTATTTTAGCGTAACTGCGATCTGGTATACCTCTAGCAGCTGCTATAGCAAACTCATGAGCTTCCCAAGCGTGCCAATAATTAATCTCACAACTATGCTCCAATCTCATAAAGTGAATGATGTCATTTGCTTTTGGGCCATCGTTGGCATCACCATATCGATGCTGTATCAGACTCCCAATTGTTCTTGCCGATGCTGTTTTCCAATTTTTCTTTTCTTTGAAGGAGCACATGTATGTCTTTCCTCGCACTGGTTGATCATGAAATATGTAGACCCGTCCACACCTTCTGCACGCACAGTCCAGTTGCATAATGCATCCTTACATCGGCAATACCATCATTTTCTCGTGGATTTGAGAACAGTGTAATCGAAATGATTCTTCATAGCTAAAATTTCCATTGTTTCCTTCAGAACCTCTTTACTTCTGAAAATTTGATTCTTCTTCACGAAATCTCCTCTCCAAGATCGACCATCCTTTTCACTATCTCCATTATTTTGAGAATCTCCAATGTTTTCACTCCTTAAACCATCATTAGCGCAACCTGCTGCATCGACATGATCCTTCCTTCTATCACAAGACTCCTTTGACGGCTTCACAAACTTTGCTCGATTTTTCTCATGAACTTCTTCATCCTCAAGATTACTTGAATCACACGGCTCCTTATTCAAATTGATATTGACTCGTTCTTTTTGGTTAACACCAGAACACGAGAACGTGACACACAAGGTAGTACATGAATCCTTCTTTGCATACTCCACAAAATTAGATGATTTTCGATCATTGGTGATAATAGTTGGAGGATTCCCTCTTTGATTCACCATCGAATAACTGAACTCAACATTCACAACAGTATGGTCCACCCCATAATCCTCACACACGATCCTCTTGACCTTCTCCAAAGGAGTAGTAGTTTCTAATGTTAACATTCGACCACGCCTTGCTCTGGCTACCACGAAACTCCACTCTTCACTGCAACTAGACACATTCACCAGATTTAACATAGATTAGAACCATAATGTATTGATAGAGAGAAGAGATGATTGTGTGGATGAAGAAGAGAGAAACACAAAATAAGAAAAAAAGATTGTGGGAGGAGGAGAAGAATGTGAAATTTGGAGAAAATATTCTTCGCTAGATTTAGGGTAGATTTAGTTTAGATTTAGGAAACTTCTATAACTGAATATGGAAGTTTCCATATTTTCAGGATTTGCCTAGAACATGTATACTACCTACACAGAACACAGTATAGGAGGTATGAAACATATTAGTCCTATAGGCGTCATATAAGGTAAAAGGCAGAACATGTTTTGGCACGTAATGTAGCCGAGCTATATCATTGAGTTGTGGCTATATATCGTTTTCAACCTCTTGGTATAACAAAGACATCTTTCTAGATCGTAACGTAACTTAATCTATCTTTGTCAGAATATACAAGAAATGTTGTATTACGGTATATATCTTTGTCGGAATATACAAGAAATGTTAGATTACGGTATATATCTTTTATATATCTATGTTTATCACTTAGAATCTGATTTATAAACTAACTAGATTACCAGAATGAGTATTCTAAATGTGGCTAGAAGATTAAATAAAATATGATCCCATTTTTTGTTATTTAAACATATATATTATCATACTTAAGTTTACAATAGTTTTCATAATTTTTTACATTTTTAAAATTCAGTTTACCATTTTTCCATTAAAGAAGGGTAAAATATGTCCATAAAGGGTCAAAAGTATGAAAAATCCTATTCTGACAAACAAAATTTCAAAATGTCTCATTTTTCCAATTCTCCCTACAAAATAATGGACTATTGTTCATTAGTAGGTCAAAATAGGTGACATGGAGGTATTTTGTTTTGTTACATGTTTTTTAATTAATTAATAAAAATTAAAATTAAATCTATTTTTAACCGATATAATTTTTTTATTTTTATGAGTGATGATTCTTATGAATTTCTGAAATTTATTTTGTTTTATTTTCCTGTTTTTTATTTTATTGAATATTTTGTGTTTTTCCAATTTTAATCAGTTTTTAGAATTTTTTTAATTTTTTGGGTAATTCTCTTGAGTAGTCATTTCAAGTTTTTTGTTACAAAAATAGCCCTCAAAAATGACCAAAATATTCCTTTTTATTTTGAAATTTGTAATATTTCTTTTTGTT